GCCCCCTGACTCATCCAGTTTCCTTTGCTGCCTCCGGACGCTGTTTCTGTCTGTCACCAGCTGCCTATCTGACCTGAGGTTTCTCTGTTGCATAGTTTGTCTTTACTGGGGGCCATGCGTGAGCTGTCAGGGGTGTGGTGAAAGCAGCTCATTCCCTCCTTTCCTGGCCTGCCAGCAGCACAGACACACTTTGCTTCAACTCTATGTGCCAGAAAAATGCCGTTCACAGAGTTGTGGTGCCCACGTCTCCCTAAGGACAGGCTGGTGCAGCATGAGTGCCAGGGCTCCCTGCACCTGCCCAGAGGAAGGCACCTGCAGGGCAGAGATTTAGATGGAGCCACAGATCAGGGGAGAAAATCTAGGAAACGGGGAGATTCTGGGGCTCAGAGAAAATGCGTGTGAACAGGGAAGGTTGGAATTAACCCACATCCAGTGTGTGTCCTACCCTGTGTGTCTGGGCAGCCTCATCCAGGAGCAGCACCCAGTGAGATCTGTGCTTCGGGGATCTCCAGCAAACCACACACATGGCTTCCCCATCCTCCTCAAAGAACAGAACCAGGGCTTTGCCATGTCTCTCTCTCACATTCCCATTGCCTGGTTTCAAATCCACTTGTTTGAGTTTTTCCACGATATTTGCTGGTGGGTAGTTATTCCTCAGAGCCCCTTTCTGGGTTTGGGCTCTACAGCTGGGGTAGTACAAGAGGTCAGAGCCCAGCTCTGCCCATGTCCCACAGTGCTGCATGATGCAGCATCGGTGGAAGTTGTACCCACAGTGTAGGGTCACTGGGTCTGAGACATTCCAGGCAGATGGGACATTTGGCTTCCTCTTGGATTTCCCGTACAGGAGTTGCTGTGGCCATGGCTGTGTGCTCTCTGGGCTTCTGGTCTCTCTGCAGCAGAAATGGTTTTGCCGACAATGGGCAGTGACATCACAAGGGCCTTTTGCAGCACCTCAGCTTATTGGCTAAAGGAGGTTGTGAGGTGGTGACCTCACAGAGAGCCCACGACAAGGGCCAGGTGGGACAGGCTGCAGGGCAGGGTCAATCCCAGAGACCCCCATGGTTTTGTGATTAGGAGTCTCGTTATTGAGGCCATGAAAATGAAATGCAAATTTTGGCCCTGGTGCTTCTCACATTCTTCTATTTCTATACAGCTATAAATATTTTTAACTGTCTCTTCAACCCTTCACCGCTGAAACAACAAAAAACATGCACACAAAAAAGAGGTGGGGTGTGTGTGATGAGGGAGAAAGAAGTGAAAAGAAAGAGGAGTTGGGAAAGAAAAAGCAGAAGTTGTGTGTGTGTGTGTTAGGAAGGGAAATAAACAATAAACAATGAGTTAGGAAAGGAAAGAGAAGGCAAAAAACAAAATACAGGCAGCAATAACAAATTTAACCTGCTAAAAAGAAGGGGGGCTTCACAGGCAGACAAAACATCTGGACGCTCTGGCCCAGCTCGAGGAGGATAGTGGAGGTTGCCACTTGATCTTGCAAACTAATTGCGCTGCCTTCATTTCCAGGCTGGATACCCACTTGGGCAGCATAAGGGAACCCTCCAAAATCCTCTGGGATCAGGCATTCCCTAACCAGAGGGAGGCCGGAGGTATGAGATACCCGTGCCACCCATCCCCAGGCTGTGCTCGTTTGAGAGGCCCCCCCCCCAATTTCTCTATGGCTCTGACCTGGGCAGGAGCAGGGCCATGACCTCTCTCTCACTTCCCCTCCTTGGGGACCAATCTGCCTTAGCATAGGGTCATCCTTGTGTTAAGAAGGATGCAAGTTGGGTCCCCCTTTAACTTCCCTCCCTTGCCCCAGATTACAAATTGCAGTCCCAGTTCCCTTCTGCTCTTCCCACTGGGCTCTGAGCATCATTGAGTTTCCTGTATTCCCTAGGATGGGCTGGGGCTTGTTCTGGGAACCCTGCAATGAAGCCCTAACAATTCCCTTCAAGCTCCATGGGCTGCTGTTTTCATTCACCTCCTGCTTCAGCCTGTCGCTCTGTCTCCTGTCACACCCGTCTCTGCCGGGCCACTGCCTTTGCTGGGCGAGGCAGGGTTACTGCCCAGGGGAGTTGGCTCTGCCCTTAGCCTTTCTTCCTTTTCATTATATTTATTTGTGTTGTTCCTTTGAATTATGTTTTTATTATTGCTGCTCTTTGCTGAGAGAGCTACTGGGAGGCCCCAGGTTTCCAAAGACCATTACCAGCTTCCTCTACAAAATCAGTAACCTTTTCCCCAAAGCCACTGTTAACTGATCTCTCTCGCCTTCTCCCTTTCTTCTCAACTAGTCCCATTCCCTATGACATTTTCCACTCCTCTAGACTACCAGCCTGAGCCATGAGACTCAGTACTGGAATGTAGCTGTGAATCAAATCACAGCCAGGGCCACAGGGATATCATAGAGAGCGCCTGTCCTGCTGTCCTCTCCTCTTCCACAATCCTTCCCTCCTCTCCATCGCTCATGACTAGCTCACCACATTTGCTACCCAAAGGTTTCAGAACCCAAAGCAGTGGTCAATGAAATACTGCTAGGTGACATCAGGAATAAAACAATGAGGCCCCAGGTCCTCTGAATAACAAATAACTGATACAACCAGAGAGCTTTTTTAAAATTAGGTTTTAAGCAAACACACACACGTGCACTAAATAGACCCGTAATGCAAAGCATTCCAAACATTATAATTACCCAAAGACTGAGACAGTTTGAGTAATTAATAGCTGGCTTTTGGTGAGCTTCCTTCCATCCAGTTGCTGGGGAGTTTAGGTACCAAGTTCTTGCCTGAAGAAAAACTCCCTTGGATTTCTCCAAAGTAGACTGATTTTTTTATAGCTACCTTAAAACACATAACACATCCTGATGCCTAGTGGATCACCATAGGAACCCACTGTGGGTCACTAATTCATCGAGTTTTAGCAAATAATGGTTATCAACGCATTTTAGTTATAACACTAATACATTACAGACACTTAAAACCAAGGTGAGCTCTTTAAACATTCCTTGTATGGTACATTAACTTTTTGTCCCACTGTGATAAGCAAAACTGGAAATATGCAGTTATTTGGCTTTGACTCTCGAAGTCCTAAATATTAGTCCTAGCTGTGCAATATTTGGTTTTCAGCTACCAATGGCTGGACATACAAAATAGCTAATGTTAGGTTCAATTCTCCCACAAAACCATGACAGCTTCCACTGTTTAACAGCCTTTAGTGAGGGACCTTCTCAAAAGCTTCCTGAAAGACAAAGTACACTATATCCCCTGGATCATGTTTGTTCACATGTTTACTGACCCCTCAAAGAATTCTAATACAATGGTGAGGTATGATTTCTCTTTACAGAAAGCACTGTTGATTTCTCTCCAAAAGGATCATGTGCATCTCTATGTGGGATAACTCTGTACTTCAACCTATGTCCCTGGCACCGAAGGTAGGCTTCCCCACATGGAATGCCTGGGATTGCCTCTGAATCCTTTAAAAAAATTAGCATCATGTTAGCCATCCTTCAGTCAGATGTTGCAGAAACTTAAGGAACAGGTTCCATACTATACTCAGCAGTGCACTGTAGGCACCCAGGCTGTTGGCTGCCCCCCAAGCTACAGTGCAGTTCAGAAGCCAGGGGAAGGCAGGCGGGGCCCAATCTGGCAGGTCTGACCAAGGCTGCTTCTCTCTACACAAAATAGCCTGGGAGAGGGTGGAAGGAGATGGTTCCCTCCCAGCTTTGAACCCAGAGGCTCAGGTGCTTACTCAGGGTAGGGAAGCAAGCAGTTCAAATCAGCACCAAGTCATTTCTTGCACGGTAGTGGAATCACATGCAAACCCTGTCACACATTCCACTTTATGTTTAGAAGAATTTTCCACAACCTGCAGCAGTTAGAAAGCTGTACTATTTTCCCTATTTCTAACACTTTTCTTTCATGCCATTTGGAATAAAGATATTTTTCACAGAATCATAGAACACTACAGCTGGAAGGAACCTCTAGAGGGCATCAAATCCAATCCCCTGCCCTCATGGCTGGACCAAACACCATCTAGATGATCCCTAACTTGTTCTTAAATTACTCCAGTGATGGAGATTCCACAACTTCCCTAGGCAATTTATTCCAGTGCTCCACTACCCTCACAGGAAGTTTTTTGTAATGTAAAATCGAAAGCTCCTTGTTGCAATTTAAGCCCATTTTCCCCACAGTCAGAGCTATTAAAAGGGTTCTTTGATGTTCAAAAACATTTCAGCTACAATTGAACCTTTGTAATTAGTCAGAGCAGTTATAAGGTTTCTCTCCTATGTGTGTTCTCTTATGTCTAACAAGATCTGATCACTCGGAGCAGCTGAACGGTTTCTCTCCTGTGTGGATTCTCCTGTGTTTAACAAGGTCTGGCTTCTCACTGAAGCTTTTTCCACAATCAGAGCAGTTGAAGGGTTTCTCACCTGTGTGGATTCTCCTATGTCTAACAAGGTCTGACCTATGACTGAAGCTTTTCCCACACTCGGAGCAGCTGAACGGTTTCTCTCCTGTGTGGATTCTCCTGTGTTTAACAAGGTCTGGCTTCTCACTGAAGCTTTTTCCACAATCAGAGCAGTTGAAGGGTTTCTCCCCTGTGTGGATTCTCTGATGTTTAATCAGGTTTGCATTCTGACTGAAGCTTTTTCCACACACAGAGCAGTTGAAGGGTTTCTCCCCTGTGTGGATTCTCTGATGTTTAATCAGGTTTGCATTCTGACTGAAGCTTTTTCCACACACAGAGCAGTTGAAGGGTTTCTCCCCTGTGTGGATTTGCCTATGTCTAACAAGGTGTGAGCACTGACTAAAGCTTTTCCCACAGTCAGAGCAGATGAAGGACTTCTCTATTCTGTGGTTTTTCTGGTGTTTAATAACACCTGATTGGCAATGTAAGCTTTTCCCACAGTCAGAGCAGCTGAAGGGTTTCTCCCCTGTGTGGATTCTCTGATGTTTAATCAGGTTTGCATTCTGACTGAAGCTTTTTCCACACACAGAGCAGTTGAAGGGTTTCTCGCCTGTGTGGATTCTCTGGTGTAAAATGAGGACCTGTCTACACTGGAAACTTTTCCCATAGTCACTGCAAGGGTAGGTTTCCTCTCGATGGGGGATTTTTTGTTGAACAGTTTCTCTGTTCTTTTTTATGTGTCTGTTCCTGTGATAGGATTTACCCTGTCCCTCCACTGCATGGTTTCCCTGCTGTTTTTCTGGGCTATGCTGACTTGCATAGGTCTCTCCCTGCTTAGGAGTCTGAAAAAGGTGCCCTTCATATATTGACAGTAACATCCCATGTGGAGCCACTTGCTCCAGACTTTCTTGCTGAAGACTTTCCTCATAGTTCTTCCTCAGCATCCCATCACCTGCTGGGATAGAGACAGAAACCAGACAGGAGTCATTCGCTGTGCTGTGCTGTGCTGTGCTGAAAGGGGAACAGGAAAAGGGAGAGAAAACATCCAAACAAATGCTGTGCAGGTTGAAATTGCCACGGCCCTCCCTCATCCTTCATGAAAATATGGATTTTCATAAAGCTTCTTCTAGACAGGCATAACTCATCATGTAACATACCATTTTTACTGTTACAGTCTGCTGAATCTGTATGTGCTATTTCTGTGCCTGTATCATTCTTGTGTTGCGAAGTTAGTCTTATGAAGTGTGCATCTGGTTTTAAGTCTAAATGTACTAATGAGGACCATTACTGATATGTTAGGAACGTAGCGACTCAGTACTCAAACCAACCACCAATGATGATTACATTTCTCCTGTAAGTCCAAATTGTGGTTGATCCTAGAAAGTCACATGACTGTGCCACCTGGTACTAGATTCAAGATGGATTCCAATACTTTTCCATGAGTATGGAGAGTGTGAACACATGTTCTCAGATTGGGGGAAAGCCTAAGTTAGGAAAGGAAAGCAATCAGGGCTTTGTCTTCAGCTGGCCTTAGAAATTGCCTCATCTACTGCAATAGACAGGAGGAGTACTGACTAGCACCTGGTAACCAGGTGGTTAAACCCATTTTGGAAGGGGGGCCACTTCACAAATTTCAGAAGTGGCCATGGGCCAATCCAGAAGGGGCAGGGTTAAGAACTACACTGTTGGGAGCTTTGCTTGGTTTGGGGTCTCTGCCAATGGAAGGAACTTGGAGCAGATGGCAGGGTGCTGGGGGCCAGCCTCCTCCAGAGTTGTCTAGTGTGGAGGCTTAGAGTTCACATAACACCAATGGGAGCTCTTGGCCCCGCTACTAACCTGTTGCTTGTCAGCTGCTGGCAGGCACAAGCCCTTTGAACAGAAGCAGTTGAAAGGGCTCGTGCCTCCCGGGCAATGGGACAGTGGGACTGAGAGCTGTGAGCCCTTTCAATTGCTTCTGTTTAAAGGGCTTTTACCTGCCAGGTGGCTGCCAGGCAACGCAACTGCCCAGCAAGTGCGAGCCCTTTAAATAGAAGCAGTTGAAAAGGCTCATGCCTCTCTGGCTCCCAGGCAACGCGCTAGGGGCAGGAGTCAGCAACCTTTTAGAGGTGGAGTGCAGAAATTTGACTTATTCGCCTCTATGTACAGGGCAGAGTGCTGGTGATACTTTTTAAAGTCAAAAATAGTCCTACTTACAGCAGCTTCATTAATAAATAAATTAAGACGCAGATCTTTAGTGCAAGGGTTGGCAACATTTCAGAAGTAGCGTACTGAGATTTAACTTATTCACGGATCTGTGTGCCGAGGGAAGGAGAGGCAGGGGCAGGCTGTGTACAGTGACCTTATTTTCTGAACCAGCTGCAGCTAGTGAGAATGGTTTAATTTAAATTATGAAACAGATTAAGCATTTTAATTTTCTCATGTTAGTTTATCAAACTTCATTTTAAATAAAGTAAAATATGTCACACACAAAAGGTTTCAATGTTTTATTTATGGCAGGAGTGGGGAACCTTTTGGGGTCAGGGGTCACTGACCCACAGAAAAATCAGTTGGGGACCACACAAGTGAGAAGCGAAAAAACTCCTTCAAAAACACCCAGCGCTCACTGATGTGGCCCCAACTGATACACATCACTCCTCTGATGCCTCAGCCTCACCGGGTGAGGGGAAACGGAGGCCTGAGGTTCAGGACATACCATAAACCAGATTTACTTTTCTGGGGTTCCAGAGTTAGTGGATTTTATGGTCCTCCTTAGGCTCTGGGGTAGGGACAAAAATAAGGGGTTCAGAGTGCAGGATAGGGCTGCCAGCAAGTAGGATAGTGATGGGGTGCAGGATCTGGGAAGGAGGTGAGGTGCAGAAGCAGGCTGGGAGTAGGGTGTCTTGCCAGGAGGAGGGAGCAGGATCAAGAGGGTGCAGTGCATGGCCAGGAGAAAGGGTGTAGGAGCAACATAGATGAAGAAGCAGGGTGCGGTGTCTGGCCAGGAGAAAAGGTGCAGGAACAAGTGTCGGAGCAACCCAGGTGTTGATGGGGAGGGGAAGTGACAGGATTGGGGTGAGGGATCTGAGCATGAGGGGGGACCTTACTTGGCTTCATGCCCCCTTGTAATAGTGGCTGCAGCCAAGCAGTCCCAGCCACCCCAGAGGGAGGCCCCGCTGTCACAATGG